TGTCAATCAGTCATATAATGTATTATGGTTGTGAATGTTCACATTTGTTAACTCTTAATCAGTTATATAATATTGATGTAAGTCAATAATATAATCACACAATGTTGAGGTGAGCATTTACATCTATTCAATATGCAATTCAAATACTGTTCATGTGAACATTCACATCAACATTGTGCACAAACAAACCAATAGTCTAGTTGTTACCAAACATGTACTTGTGAAGATGAATGTCTAATCCTCCAAAGTTGGGTTGACCAGCTCTTATAGTTCGAGTAGTATTTTGCTATATGCATCTATCACCTGCACAAACAGAGGGGTGACAGTACATTATTTCTAGTGTCTATACGGTGTGTCTGTGTGTATGTATGGTTTGTACAAATTTGCGAGTGTCATACGTTGTTGTGTAATGATTCTTCCTTGATGATGTGTATGATGTCATCAAAATACACATTTCTAGACTTTGAGTCCTCTTGCCACACAAACAACCTGTGCATTGTGATACTAAAAAATGTGAATGTTAACATTACACAATTATAAAATGATCTAATACATTACGTACAGATGTTAAGCGTAATATCATCATTAAAATAAATACAATCTCAATGTGTATAATCACTTATTCATTACTTTCATTCTTGTGCAAATTTTGAACCTTTTGCTTGTTAAGTTTGCTCATGTTGGCCCAAACCTTCATTTTGTTGGTCAATGTTAACTTCTTAGATTTTGTTGGTTGCTTTGTTTGTGGCTGTTTGGCCAAATCTTGTACAATATGGACTATATAGGATTGGTTTTTAGCTCCATCTTTTTCTTTCTTTAGGCTAGGCAGGTCAGGGTATTGAAAGTCAGCTAAGCGGTGCTCTCTCTGCACCTTTTGCTTGATATGTTTCACCCTAGATGGTGGGTTGAGAATGTCTTTCAATGGTGCAATGGGATGCTTCTTAAGGCTGTCATGAACCTTTTATGCTTTGGCTTGCGTGATAATATGGACGGACTGATCATTGTAAAGGTCTTGAAGAATTGTTTTTTTGCATTCTAGGTTGATGACCAATTTTGTCAATCGCTCAATTTCTGTATCTTTCCGCTACATGCAATTCTTGATTTCCATGTCCACATTGGATGGGCCTGATTGGTTGAATAATTTGGTTTCAAGAACAGCGATCACCCTTGCCCTCAACTCCCATGATTCTTCCAAGTGTTTGTATTTTGCTTCCCATTGTCATACGAGACTCCAAGCTTTTTGGTTTTCTTCTATAAGCATATCCGCGATGTTCGATTTACTTGGTTGTGCTATGATGATACATCTCTCAGCATTGGGGTTGTTAAATCTGGTGTTGATGTCATCATTAACATTATTTAGGTCAACTGCATGCCCAAAAATTCCATCGCCGTTGTCATTGCCTTCATTGTCTTTGCTTTCATCATTGTTGCTTTCATCTTGTTTGGGTGTTGCACTCGATGAATCCTCATGTTTGGGATCCACCATCAAATTGATATGATGGTACAATTTTGCTTCTATTGGAGATGCCATCAACTCGTCGCCATATACCAAGAATTGGAAACATTATGTTACTTACATAGTTCATTGTGTCAGTATGTGAATGTTCACAACATTTTGGGGTGTACTTTTACCTCATTTAAACCAAGCTTCGGCAAAGATATGGACTTCATGCTGATATGTAAAGCTGTGAGGTCCCACTTCACACACCGATGAATGGCATTGGGTTTGCGGGGTTGTAAGATGGTTGTGTGCTTACACAACCAGCACTGAAACAAATAACAAACATCAATGTTCCCACCATTGCATACTATTGTGAACATTCACATCAGTTTATAATGATGCCAAACTGATGTGTGTGCTACATTTGAATGTAATGGTGCCAAACTGGTGGCAATGCTTACATTAGATCATACTATTATGTGTGCTACATTTGTACATTTGTTTGTACACACTGATGTGAATGTTCACACTAGTGTTTACTGATATGAATTTCTACATCAATACACACTGTTATGAATGTTCATATCATTGCACTGATATGGATGTTCACACCAGTGTCCAATGAAATGAATGGTTGTGTTAATACACACTAATGTACATGTTCACATCATTAATGTCAACCTTGACATCATTGTTTACCAATGTGTGTGTGCTACATTTGTCTTGGTGCCAACATGAGCAAAACACTGGTGTCAATGTTTACATTAGATCATTTTATTGTGAATGTTTCCACCATTGTATACTGTTGCGAACATTCACTTCAGTTTGTAATGATGCCAATATTCACACTAGTATCTACCGATGTGTGTGTCACATTTGTTTTGTTGTAAACAGGAGTGAGCATACCTTATGAATGTTCATATTACATATATAATAAGATTTATGAGATTTACCATTAACAACATAACACATCCGGTGACTCGTCCTGGTTTTCTCCAGTTTTGGCCCACTAACCCCATGAGAATTGCTCGGATGATCTCAACCTACTCATACTCAATCATCTTGTCTAATGGGTCCATGTATGAATAGAATGTCCATCCAATTGTTTTTCCACACGAATAGTTTCATGTATGCATACATGCAAACTAATGTTGCAACCTCTCCGTTGTTTTTTTTTTGTGCCATTTAATGCTTCATTTAGAATTTCACGTATTTTTGCCGCACTTAATCAACTGATATCCTTGCATGTTCGGTATATGATGCCGGTCGTTGGTTTCGCACCATCAGAGAGGTCCATTGGCTCGGTGCCGCAGTTTACCCCAAAAATAAGTGATACATTACTTCTAAAAATCTGAATGTTCTTCTCCCAATGTAAAACCTCCCACTGGATGGCTTGAATGTTTGCACAATACGTATAATGACATCATCGTATTTCATACAATGATTGAGGTCAACTTCATTATTGATCAATCAATCAAATAGGGGCCAAAATGGTGTTTTCCTAAGGCATTTCAATTGCCCATTTGTAAATTTTGTACCATTTAATAGTTTTCCCAATCTAATGATATTAGACCGGCAGTTGATATTTTTCATGTTCACTTGTTCGGGACTAGCTGTTTGATCGAGTTTGCCTTTGACATGGGCTTCCTCTTTTTTTCTTTTGCCTTGAAATTTACGGGGAACACCTGTTTATTCAAATACAAACAAATTTAATGTTATTATTCATAAATCAATAGTGATAATAACTGTAAATTATATGTCATGTGAATAATGGGATGGTCATGGTGAAATATTATGTGAATTGCTGGTGTACATGTTCTCATGAACAGGTTATAGCACATGACAACCCAACGTGATACAACAACAAACCAACAAAACAAACATGATGTAAATGTGTGTGATGGGTACAGTTTTGTGTTGTTCATGTTGCCATTGGTTTGTAGTCATTACCAATATTTAACTATCTGATGTAAATATTCACATTATGTACAATGAAAATCAGATAGATCCAAAAAAGACTTGACAACCATTCAAGATTAGGGGCTCTACATCAACAAGTAACAATACTAATAACTTTGTCAATATCTACATCATATTCCATTGATATTAGAAGGTGAATATTGACATTGATGTCAGCATGTAAATTTTGGCATTCTGTTTAGAATGTAATTATTTCATCACCATCACCATCAACAACCAACAACTCTAACATAGACACAAGGGAGGAGATATGAAGTGTATTACAAAACAATAACACGTGACAATTTAAGACAAATAAGTCATTACCAATATTTAACAGTCTGATGTAAATATTGACATCATGCATAATGGAACACACATTGAACCAAAAGATGGTTAACAACCATTAAAGATTAGGGGCTCTAATTGCTTTATAACTATCAACAAGTAACAATACCAACAATTCTGTAAATATTTACATCATATTCCATTGATATTAGAAGTTAAAAATCTACATTATATTCATACTGTGAATATTGACATTGACGTAAATATTTACATCAATGTTAATAGTTACACCATATTCGCATCATATTCGATCACCTTGTAAATATTGTACATTTGCCAATATGGTGTTTACATTATATTCTATCATATTTCAATTTGGAGGGAAATTGGGGTTTTATGGACATCAACAATCAGCAATACCAACATTGACAGAGGGAAAAAAATAGAGTTCATTACCAAATCACAACCACAAACAACATTAATAACAAAGTAATGTAAATTATACATTTGTTTGTTAATGTTATTCATATTCAACAAAAAAATCAACATCACCAACATGGACAAAGAGTGAAAATAGGGAGTTCATTACAAAATGAAATCCCAAAACAACAATAATAACAAGGGCAATGTAAACGTATACATTTATATTATCATTGTTTGAAAAACAGAGAATGGAAGGATGATGCTTACCTTTGGTCCTCATTGTGGGTGGGATATGTAAATCGACGGCCGACAAGGACCAAGGAAGAACGAACCCTAATCCTTTCGATGTAAATCTTTGTAGTGGTGCATTGATGTGGAATAACAGTGGTCGACGATGGTTGGTAGTGGAGGACGACGGTGGTGTGGCGATATGAAATTTAGAGTTATGGTTGGGGAATTTTTTGGTGCCAACGATAAGTTTTTTTTTTGGGAATGAACGTGTTGTGGAGTGAAGAGATGGAACACGAACGGTTAGATTTTCAAAATTGAGTATGCATGGGAGAGATGAAAGGAGGATATTTTAGTCTTACTACACTAAATGGGACATAATGAAACAATAAAAAATAATTTGGGTTTTATGATATAAAAGTCTTAGAAATGGAATTTATGAATAAAGCTCCCTTATAAATTAGATCAATAAATTTTTTTTTTTAATTAAAAGATATTTAAGAAAATAGTGATAATATTAAAGCAATAAAAAGCAAATCGTGAAAAATGAAAGGACACAAAATAAAAACGTAAAAGAGAGGAAATTGAAGGGAAAAAAAATGGTAAGAAGGATATTCTAATTCCTTTAAGAAAAAAATAATTATTTCATAGAATATATTTATTGTCTTCATAACTTGTTATAATAATAAATTATTTATGTCATCAAATACATTCTAAACAACAAAACTCATAAATTAATTATTTGATGCTTGACTCTTCTCCGACAAATTACAGCAGCAACAACAACATGGAGCCCATTACATAACCCGAAAATTGGGAACATTAACCAGCATGATACAGCAACGAACCCGACAGAAGAGTCGTGGTGTTAGCTTGCGTTGGTGGAATATGTGAGGTGGGTCGTAATCGCTGATGTATTGAACCCATTGAAATTTGACCCAGCAGCTGCCGTATACGCACCCATGTTTGGAAACACCAGCCAATCGTTGACCTGTAGTTCCGGTAACTGGTGACCCGTCAACACCGTGTCAAGGGCATCGCACGTGGGCCCAAACACAGTCGAACAATAAGTCCTCGCTCCACCGCACCTTGGGTTCTCACGGTTCGACGTGCACGCAAACGGCGTCGCATTCACAGTAGCATGGTCGTACAGTATACAATTCATGGACCCGTAAACGCCGTCGTTTATCCAGTACTCCCTCAGCTCCCCCCTCACACGCTTCCCGATAATGTTGGTGGCTAACGTGAAAGCCGACTCTGCAAAAAACCGCCCCGGTTCGGCAATGAAGGTTAAACCGGGTTCCTTGAAGTACTCTTGGATGGCGGATTTAACGGCGGTAGCAGCGTCGTCGAACTGTGGACCCGCCGTAAAACCGCCGCCGATATTAAGCACGTGCATTTCAGGCATGCCGAGCTGTGACGCCACATCGAACACCCCTTTTGCCGCCGCTATGGCCGCTTTGTAAGCGCCAGACTCAGTAGCGCCGCTTCCGATGTGGAAAGATATGCCGGAGACGGTGAGTCCGGCGGTTTGGGCTGCTTGAAGGAGCGGCGCGATCTCCTCTGGAAGAGCGCCGTATTTTGGACCGAGCGGGCATCTAGCGCCGCCGTCGTCCGGAGATTTGACCCGAATGAGCAAATCGCAATTCGGGTGGTACTTCCGGATCTTAACGATTTCTTCTTTGGAATCAAAAGTCGTGAGGTTTACGCCAACGCTCGCGGCGTACTTGATGTGAGACTCGGCTTTGCAAGGGTTGGCATAAACGATCCGATCAGGAGAGACTCCGAGAGACAAAACGGTTTCGATCTCGGCCCGGCTAGCGCAGTCGAAGCTCGAGCCGAGAGCAGCCAAGACACCGAGGAATGCTGGGTTGGGGTTGCATTTGACGGCGTAGAAAGGACGGACGGTTGGGAGGGTGCGAGTCCATTGGTCCATGAGAGACGCGACCACACCCAAGTCCAGCACGTAGAAGGGTTCTTTAAGGTCTTGTTTATTGAAGATGATGGACTGTATGAGAGAGGTTAGACCATCTTTTGGTAGAGCCGTCAGGGTCTTACCCCTTAGCCCTGGTGCACCCAAGATGACCTGGAGGCTATTATGGTTCGAGACCATGACTCGGAATGGCTCGGAGGCCGTGACAAACGAAGAGAGGGAGTAGAACAAAGCAGGAGGGTTTGGAAGTCGTTATATATATGGGTGGCTTTTTGGGTAATATATAGGGAAGATTTGAAGGTATTATCTCAGACTGCTCATTGATTACGAAAAAACAGAGAAAAAGGTGTATTATTGAGTTTTCAACCCAGAATCAGCACAAATCAAATGTGTATATATATATGTATATATATATTTTTTGTGATAATTAAATGTTTGAATTAATTTGTGCGAACATTCAATTTATTTGAAATTGGTGAGAAGTGAAACCACGTTCAAAATAAGAAGAATTGAAAATAAAAGAAATTTCTTGGCTCCCTGATTTAAGAAGAGTTTGAATTTCGTGGGGGCAAAATGAATGGGTAGGTTTTCAAAGGATTCCAAACGCGTTATTACGTGTAAGCGGCGAATCGGATGGTGCATGGGCAAAACCACCGGATTGTTTATATATCTCATGGCCAAGGTTTTTTTTTTTTTTTTTTTGGACGATCAGTGGAATTATTTTCAAATATCTACAAAATTACATCAAATCAAAAACACTCATAATGGACAGAGTTTACAAGAGAAGCTCTAGATTTTGTTTTTTATGAAAAAATAATTACATGAAAATGAATCATCGAATCAATTTATTACCTGGGGCAAGTCTCACATATTTACAAATATATGTGACTCAGTTATATTTCACCAAGTTAAACATTCCATCTCAATCTCATTCCTTCGTTCATCTCCCAAAACAAACAGATATAAAGGGTGTGTTTGATTCAAGGAATTATGGGGGATTATTTATTATTCAAATTGCTTATCCAATGGAGGAAGATGTCCATCGTTTGGTACAAGTTTAATCCGCCGGACGACTGGGGAGTCCATATCCCTCATATGAGAGACAAAACAATCCGGGGGTGAGATTACTTCCATGAGATTGGTATCTCATGAGACTAATTGGTGAAAATGTCCATTTTATCGTCATGCTATTACTTAGGCCAAGTTTGGTTATCCTAAATAAGTACACACTTTTTATCTTTTTTCCATCACATCATCTCTCTACTTTTCTGCACATCTTTTCGTAAAAAGACAAAAAGTGCACTTATTTAAGTCATTCCAAACAACCCCTTAGTAAATAATTGGAAAATGGTAAAATAGTCTTTTGAACATTTACAAATTATTTTTTTAGTGTTGTTCATTTAAAATTATATATTAAATAAAAAATATAAATTATAAATTTAATTTAATTAAAAATAATACATTAAAAATTATGGACTTATAAATTAAATTTTTTTTAGTGTTGTTAAAAAATTAAATTAAATTTTTTTAGCTTTGTTAAAAGATTAAATTTATATATTAAATAAAATTATTTTTTTAGTGTTTTTAATAATATAAATTATAAATTACAAGGGTAAAATAGTCTTTTAAACATTTATTCTTATTTAGTCCGTCCAACCAAACATTAGATTTACTAAAAATAATCATTTCTAGACATCTAATCCCATGAGAAAACAAACACGAGATACACATCCAATCTAACCATATAGTCCGGGGAATTTACAGTCTTAGGATTCAAGTCCAATGGATTCTAATCCCCCCTTATCCAGTTCAATCAAACACACCCAAAGGGTTAAAACACATTTTATCTTCCAAACACATGACAAAAATATATGTAATTCACACACTTATGTTATTTTTATGTGTGGGTATTTTAATTTTTTTTATTAAATCGTTAACAGACGTAACAATGTACTTCAGTTTACAAACCATAAGAAATTTATGTGTTTGTTTTCAAATATTAAGGGGATAAATTGCACATGACATAGACCAAAGCGGGATAAAGTAAAGTTGGTCCATAGTTATATGTAGTTTTAGAATTGATTTAGGGTTTAGAATTTAAAATTTATAATTATATAATTGATTTTGATAGATCAACAATTTTTTTAATATTTTACCCTCAAACTGCTTCCATATTAAGCTCTTTTCTCTAGGTTCTTAATGACTAGTGTTGCAAATGAGCCAAGCCGAGCCGAGTCAAGTTTTACTATGTTTGAACTTGTTTAGTAAGATTTTAATGAGTTCAAACTCGAGATCTAACTCAATAAACTTTTAATGAACCGAACTCAAACCGAGTTGGCTTAAGCTTAATTTGAGTTCGAACCTATTTACGAACCTTAATGAGTCAAAAAAATTATAAATTTATATTTGTATATGAAACTAAAGTTACAATTGAAACTTTGATTATACAATTATATATACAATATATATAAATATACTAAAAAAAAGTCAATATCTTATCAAAATAATAATATCTACCACCACTATCATCTATATGTATTATATATAGCTATTATTCACATATAAATAAATTTAGCTATTATTTAAATTTATATTCTTGAAATTATAAATGACATATTTATTCTATTATTTATACAAAATTTTATGTTATTTAATATATAAATAGTTTATTTATTTTATAATTTAAATAAATACTAAATGAGCCTAACTAACAAGCTGAGCTAATAAGTTGAGTTTTAATTTGTTTAGATTTATTTATTAAGATTTTAACAAATTTAAACTCGAACGCAATAAAAATTTAACAAACCAAATTCAAATGAACCATTGTCAAGTTTAGTTCAAATCTGTTCACAAACCATTCTATTCATTTATAGTCCTATTAATGCCAAATGAGGGATAGGTGAAGCAAATTATAATAAAGCCTCCCCCCACCCCCCATCTGGAAAGGTTTGAAACGACAATGCTACGTAGCTCAAATTTTGTGGCTCAAAAGTGGCTCAAATGGCCAAAACGACGTCGTTTTGAGTACAGAACAACATAAAAATGGCCAAAACGACGTCGTTTTGGCCATTTGAGCCACTTTTGAGCCACAAAATTTGAGCTACGAGACATTTTCCGGTTTGAAAATACTATAACGCGTTTGCAAACCAAATAGTAGACAAATACAACTTCACTTTTTCAATAAAAACCCACCCGGCAAAGCACCTATCCATGTTAAAAAAACAAAATGAAAAAGAAAAGGTGCAATATGTTGTAAAAGTATCATTAGGGGTTTGCATGTTAAAAGAAAAAAAAGGTGCGAACGTATGAAATTATTGGAGATAATTTAGGATGATTGCTTTTTGTAAATTGGACCATGTAAGATTATAACTATGCTACATTCCCTTAATATGGAGCTATCATTTTGACTCTTAATAAGGTGAGAGAGAAATGAGGGATTTTTAGTAAAGTCCAATGGAATAATAGAGAGATTTGTTTAAAAAAAATTGGAGTACATTTAGAGAGAGAAGTTTTAAAAATGAACTTAAATCTCTTCTATTCATAATTTCAATTGAAAGATGTTATTTAGACACGAGAAACCTACATAAGTCCTGTTTAAATAGGGGGATGCACCAATAAATCCCAAATTAATAACTTATGCACTGTTTAGTCCTAAAAGTTTTCTTATAGACTGAAAGGTCCCATTACAATGTTAATAACATCAGATACAATGTTAATAACATCAGAGTCATGTTACAAACATTGGATTTCAAACATCTAATGTTCATCAAATTCCAATAATGTTTGAAAATATAGGATGAAAAACATCTAATGTTCATCAAATTTCAATAAATTTTGAAATTATAGAATGAAACATCAGATCATTTACATCATTCACATCATGTTGATGTAAAAATGGGACTAAATGGAGCATAAGAAAACTTTTAGGACTAAATGGTTCAACGTTTCAAAAACTAAGACTTATGGGTAAATTTTCCGTTTAAATAATCTTATTTTCATTTTGTACAATCTTTTATGTATATTATTTACATAAAAATTAGATCGATTTGATATTTTTATTATATTTATTTCTAAAAAATGAAAGACAAGTGTGTTCTTAAAAGTAAATCATTTATTTTTTAGTGATAAATAAAATAAATTAAATTGATTACGAATGTTGGATCGACCTGCTTTTTGTGTATAAATGATATTTTTGAAGAGTCCGACAAAATGATCTACCATACATGCAGATAGGTGTTATTGATAGTTCATTAAAAAAAAAGAGAAATAACTCTTAGAAAAAGAAATATTGGATAATTTGGAAAGATCCACAGTGAATGTGCTGAAAAGGAAGGGCTCAAGTACTGTTTTTCCAATATTTTTAGCGCATTGAAAAATATATAGAGGGTGGTCTGGGATATTGAACAGCTTGTAGCACCCCAAAACAGGGGGTTTTGAAAGTACTTATATAATCCTTGTCTTTTTGAAAGAAAAATTAGATAGTGAGAGGACTATGACCAAATCCCCCAAAAAAATAAAAAGAATAAAAAAACAGACACAACACATACTGTGGCAATGAGTGGGAGCCACTGTCATATCATTAGTGATAGCTCTAATTAGAGCTCCCACTCATTTTCTAAAAAAAAAAAGTCAGATCGTAATAAAAAAATTTAAAAAAACTGAGAAGATGATTTTAAATTTTGACCTGTTTGGTAACATTTACGTTTTCAGTTTATATTTACAAAAATTTTATAAACTGATTTTTGTTTATTTTTTGAAAAACATAAACTACAAACGCGTTTGGTTTAGACAAAATGTTTAAAAAAATTTAAAAATATAAAAAAGAGTAAGAAATGACAAGTGGTGACGGGTGGTGGGTGGAGACGAGTGGTGGCGGCAGAAGACGATGGTGGAAAATGATGGCGGATGGTGGTGGCGGAAGACGGTGGTGAAAAATGGTGGCAGGTGGTAGGTGATGGTGGCAGAAGCCGGTGGTGAAAAATGGTGGCAAGTGGCGGGTGGCGGCGGCGGCGGAAGACGGTGGTAGAAAGTGGTGATGATGGGTGGTGAGTGGTGGTGGCGGGTGGGTGGGTGACGGTGGCGGGTGATGGTGGTGGCGAGTGGGTGGTGGTGGTGGTAGCGGGACAAAAATGTCTTAAGCTCAACCTTATAACATTGGGACAGCATGTCATTGGTGATCAATCGTTTGTTTATTTGATCTTCTTCTTAGACTTCTTCTTCCCCTAGAAAACATTTCTGAAAATTTTATTTTATTTTGTGGGATGGAAAAATATTTTGGTGGCTTCAAATGTATCATACAAGATATGAAAGCTGATTAAGAGTGAAACATTGATTTCCAACTTGCTACATTCAATTTTCTTGAACACTATTTTTAGATCATAGATTTTTCAAGGGAAATAAAATGAAAGAAAAATAATACTATTATTTATACATGTTCATTTTTTATGGGTAACTAACAAAAATAGTTTTTTTTTTATAATCCAATCAAACAAATGAATTTTTTGTTTTTTCACTTTACTTTCTTCCTTAATTCACTTTCATTCTTGCTCTATAACGTGATCAGAAGATTCTCGGTGGTGGTGGTGGTAGTGGTAGGTGGGGGGTGGTGGTGGGGGGTGGGTAGTTGGGGGTAGTGGCAGAAGACGGTGGTAAAAAATAGTGGCAGAAAATGGTGACAGGTAGTGGCTAGTGTTGGGGGGGAAAAAAAAAAAAAAACTCAAAACGTAAACTCATTATTTATATTTTCATTTTTTGGCTAAATTTATAAATTGAGACCATTGATTTATAAATCAAAAATTTACCAAACAAATTTTTATTTGAGTTTTTAAAATTTTTGTAAATATAAACAGAAATTTAAAAACCTAAGTATTACCAAACGACACCTGCGTATTTTAGGTAGAAAATAAAGTGCAAATATTAGTATACACTTTTAAATAATGAAAGAAGATTCCAAAGGAAAAGATCAAGAAGAGATCTAATATACAGTTTTAAATAATGTAAGAAAATTTTAGGCAATATATTTTACGAATAAAGCTTTGGACCCCAGTGGGGGTACTGGGGGTCCCTTCCCATTGGTCCAAAAAAACAAATTTTTTTTTTTTTTTTGAGTTTCCAGCCACCCCCAGGCCGACACGTGGCACTGGGGGTCACTGGGGGTCACCCCAACTGGGGGTCTGTAGCATTACTGATATTTTACATGGTTGCCATTATTTGTCATGGTAATTTGGAATTAAATACATTTTTTATCTATGAAATTTTTGTTGACTTCACAAATTTCTAAACATTTATTTGGGGAGGGGTGAGATCTTCGGATTGGGAGTCGTAACTATATATGGCTGGAATAACCCTATCCAATACTAACTAACCCCCCAACAATCAAACAATCTCTCAAACTAATTCTTCCTCTCAACTTGAATTCTTGAATTTCAACTGCTGAATCCAAAACTTTCTAAATCATAAATTTATTAATATGACTATGAAAAAAGAAAGCAGTAATTGAAGAAAAAAAAGAGAGAAAATGAAAAACTAAATTTGGAGTCCATTCATCCTTTTCTCATAAAACTTGATTACAGTCCAATCCCCCCTTTTCCCCCCTCAACCGTAGCTATATACAGTTGGAATAACCCTATCCAATACTACCTAACAAACCTCCTAACCAACTAACTAACCCCCCCCCCAACAATCAAACAATCTCTCAAACTAATTCTTCCTCTCGAACTGAATTCCTGAATTTCAACTGCCAACTGAGCTAACTGAATCCAAAACTTCCTAAATCATAACATTTTCACTTTTTTTTTTTTAAATGGGAAAACAAAGCAAAAAATTACAAAGCATCAGAAGCAACTAAGGCCAACAGATGAAATAGAACTCACCCAAACTGCCCTTACCATGCTCTTGTGGAAAACATCAAATTCCTTACCTCCTGAATGGACTACACTATCAAGCATATTTTTTGAGAAGCTAATCAGTGTGCAGATGCCCTTGCTCATATAGGAGAAAACTAGGTGGAAGACTTGAAGATCTATGAAGACCCCCTTATTTTGCTAAGACCCATTATAATGGCTGACATGGTTGGAATTGTGTACAAGAAGGATTAGTGTAATAATTTATGTATTATTGATTGATGTCTTGATTGATCGATTACAAGATTCATGATTCCTATATATAGAAGAGGGTGAGTGTGTAGTAGGTAAGGAGTAGGTGAAGTGGAGGTGGTAGTGGTGTAGTGGGTTAGGTATAATGGCTGACATGGTTGGATAGGTGGATTTTAACAATTAGTCCTCTCCTTTACCTAATTTATACTGTTGTTTAACTTTCCTTATTATCTAAAAAAGATGAAACAGAGCTCCGTCCATCCACATACACATAGGAAAAAGAAAGGAGTCCCTATTCCACAGTAAAAAATTTAGTAATTTAGTAGGAGTCTGTCTGCAGCAAGGTTATATACATCATTATCAATCCCTGCAGTTCTGTCCCTCACCAACAGCTAGCCAACCTAAATTACAAAAGACAAACAGTTGCCATATACAATTGTGATAGGGACTAAAGTTGTCTTTTCCAATGTGTACAGATTAGGTCCCCCCAAGGGATATGGTCTAAGAAAACAAATGAAAATACAAAATTAATTGACATTAATGTAAACATTACCCACCATCCTCGCTCTCTTACCTCTTCATTGGCTATCTATCCGTGAGTATTTAGAAATTTCTCTTAGATGCAGTCCTCTTCTTCTGCAACCTATTCGGAGAGAATTAAAATGCTCACATCAAGTTTCTTGATAAAGCACAGTGAAAGTGAAAAATGTCTCAAAAGCTTTTCCTTACCTTCTCTGCCATTTGTTGCAAGATCTCTATTATTTCAGAAAATTCTGGCCTCAAAGTTGGGTCTCGCTGCCAACATCTTTCAAGCAATTCCACCATCTTTGGATATGTGTGATCTGGTATCACAGGCCTTAGACCCTAAAAACCATCGGAAAAAAGAGTTAATCACTTCAATAATCCTGTTATAAAAAATAAAAAAAAGCACCAAGAAGCTTCGATATTTGGCCAAGGAAAAGTCTGCATTTTGCAAAATGCTAAATATCAATTTCAAAGGCAGAGCGTCTAGAAAATTGGACTAATTTCCATTAAAAAAAATGAAAAATATAACTGAGGAAATTGAGATTTACTTTTTGAACTACGCCAACTGCTGCTTGTAATGGGGACAAATGTTCATAAGGAAGCTGGCACAATATTGAAAGACAAGATTATTAGCATTGTGAAGTCTGTAAGATCATAACCTAATAGATGCAACAGACAAATACGAAGAAACTAAAAATGAATTTTGTATTTTAGTTTCAAAAAGAAAAAGGAAATAAAAGAAGAAAACAGATGCATTGAGTTACTACATGACAGAACCTTTCCTGTTAGCAGCTCCCATAATACAACTCCGAAGCTAAAAACATCAGCCTTGCGATCATATGGTTTGTGTTCAATAACCTTCCAAACATTGAAACAAGTAATCAAATGTCAGATGTGAGGTTAACTAGTTAATTTCCCTGTAGGGCATATGCTCTTTTATGATGCAATTTATATGGTTTAGCTGGGATTCATGATGTCAGGTTGCAATTAAACCAAGCGGTCTTGAAATGAAATTCAACATAATGGATTCTAAGATTGTAAATAAGGCTTAACAACTTAAAATGCAGACTCAGAATAAAATGTCCTGCCAGTGCTACTTGTGAGCTAAAAAAAATAATAAAAATTCAGTAGTATCTGTAGAAAACCAACCTCTGGAGCCATCCAACGATATGTTCCAGTTTCTGCAGTCATCACTCCGGATGGTGTTTCCACCCTGGCAACACCAAAATCAGCTACTTTAACAACCTGTCAAGCAGAGCTTTGGACATTTCAGACAGATTGAAAATCAGAAAAAGCATGACAATACTATACATGGTATACTAATAATGTTCCTATCACCAATGAGACTTGCCAAGGTGCAAAGACATGAATTGATAAAATGATGTACAATTAAGCATAAAATGTAACCAGAAGCCTTTTTTTCATTTGTTGCTTTGTGAGTGTAGCCACATGTGCACGGCGGGAGGAGGGGAAGGAATTCAACCTGATAGGGTGCTTAGCAAAATACAGGTCTAAGATACAGTTATTGAGGGGCATAAGAACTGCATCTTTAGACTTGAGTGTACTTCACACCCTACTGATAATAGAAATAACAAAAGCAGTAAGTATATAAACAGATGACCGAGTAAGTAATCAATGCAGGGAAGTGAATTCTTACTTCACTTTCATCCATTAAAAGATTGGCAGCCTTGAGGTCTCTGTGGATTATATTATTCTGGTGCAAGTAGTTCATCCCCTTTGAAACATCAATTGCTACTTTCAGCAAGGCTGGTAATTTGAAAATGCCTTTGCGCTTATGCATAAAGTCATACACACTCCCACCGGACATGAATTCTGAAAATGGAAAGGAAAGAACCACCAAAAACAAAAGGCAAGGAAGACTCTTTTAAAAAAAAAGCCACATAAGAAAGAATAGGAAATCAACAAATTAATATTTGTGTATAAGTAACTTAGAATCACCAGTCACAATGCATAGGCTTGGAGGTCTTGTACATGCACCAATAAATTGCACAACATTCTTGTGCCGAACTCTTCTGCAAATTTAAGAAGGAATTCAGAGAGGCGGGATAAGATAGCGAGCTTGTTAATGGAGGAAGCCTAACTTTCTATACATATTAACGTTTTGCGTGAATGATTATTCAAGAACCAATCAAGTTAAATGTTTGGTTGATTTATTGCAAGCACAACTTCATTTATATGCCTAACGAAAGAACAGGTCATGAAACAAGAAAACCTAATACTGAGTGGTTGTGAAATACACTAAGGTCACAGAAAATTAATTCACTTTAGTTCCTGAAAGCATTTGATCTTTAATTAGGAAACTATTTTCAGTAACGGTAAGAGTTTTTCAGAATGCAGGAGACACTCAAATATATCTTACCAAGTCATCATGTATACTCAGACACATTTCTCTTATTACATGTATTGATCTATTTGACAGCGAAGAAAATACAGAACTCATTGCCAACATTTGATTGGGGCTATGTGCATTCCAAGTAACATTGCAAAGAGGAAAGATTTGCAATTGTATTGATGACTGCAGTATTCTTATTTATACAGACATATCCCTCGAGTTGCAATTGTATTGATGAACACATTGTACTCAACATGTCCTGACACCTGAGAAATAAAATATCACTTAAAAAGTAAATCATGGTTGATGGGAATTACAAGCAAACAATGTTACAAACCTCAGTATGTAAACTTCCTGAGCAAACTCCTTCTGCACATCATTTAGATATTCAGCCCTGAGAACTTTGATGGCCACATCCTGACTATTGAAAGTACCTTTATACCTGTGTCAATAAAGACATATTTTTGAACATGCAATTACAGGCAATCAAATCAATAGGGCAAATATGGTAAAACTCACAAATCTCCATATAATCCAGTAGCAATTTTTTGGTCAAATTTCAACAGCATGGGATCAATTTCCCATACATCAATGCCATCAGTAGGTATGTTCACGTGGTCAGGATTTAGCTCGATCCCAGTTTGCTGTAACTCCCCCATAGGAGATATGAGATGATGTTTCAACCTAGATAGCTTCTGCAGTACACTTCAAAATACACCGTTTTAAGTATATATATTACAAATAATGCAAGGGATGACCATTGATTCAATGGTTAAGACTTGGCCTAATAACCTTGAGGTTATGAGTTCAAGTCTTGGGACCATCACTTTGCGCGCATTATGCCAAAGGTTAGGTGTGTGCTCAATCTTTCCCCTCCCAAGCACACATAATTGGCGTTGTTTTTGTATTACAAATAATGCATCATATCTGACAAACAGTACGTAGACAGGCTACCTCAATCTTTGGAATTTCCTTCACCAAAACGTTTGTAAGCTGCTCTGTTCCCTAAAATTTTCATCAGACAAATGAGTCAAGCAGTTTGTAATGAAAAGGGTAAAATAAATGAGGTTTCTCAATCTCATTGAATGAGGCTTCTCAGATTCTCAAAACATCAAATGGAGGTTTCCTAATAAAGATTCCTTTCTTTTAAAATACTGAAACTTTATATCCATTGCGAAACACGATTAACAAGAACATGTCAAATAAAGATTATCAACATCAATAACTTCATCAATCTTTTAAATGAACGTCCCACATTTTTTACCAATAACAAATGGGATTACGTAGTGCACGTTCTTTTCCTTTGAAATACCAAAACTTCATATGCATTGGGAATCGCAATTCACAAGAAGTCATCAAAAAACAATTATCAATAGAAATTATCTTCATTATAAAAATAATAATAATTACCAGAGTAGTTTGAGGACAACAAAAGTTAATTTGATGGAAAATCAAGGTCCTTACTAATCCAAAGTAGAATGGAAGATGGAGCATTATTGCACTCCACATTGCAAAGAGGTCAACATCAACATTGTAACATGATCTTGCTGTTCGAGTTAAATTACCAATCAACAACATGAAATTCAAAAAATCTCAAATAAATACTAAGAAGACCTGTGTACTCAAAAATACCAAGACATGAGTGTGTACATGACACAAGAGGCTATGAAACTAGAAAATTGCAGTTTCATTTAGGTTCTGTTTGTATATTGGATTTATGAAAGGAAAAGAAAAGGAAATTTAGCTTCTACTTCATTCCCTCCACAAATCCAATACCCAAACACAGCCTCAAGGATAAAATGGTGAGGAAACAGCACGTAATTCATGTATCATGTTTCTTGTTGACTGCTAGTACTAACATATATTGGTGAAAGAAAAAGAGAAAGAACAAAGTACCTCGTATGCCCAGCCATAAACAATAAAAACATCCAGGGAGTAACCATCTGTAGTAGAAAAAGCATGTGCTTCTTGGATATTCAGCCCAATCTCAGAAAGTAAGGAAGTCAACTGAAAAGTAAGCATACAACAAATTTAAGATGTGGAACGTCAACTTAACACACACACACATAAATTGTCAGATTGTGCCAGTCAATTAAATTGAGTGTTGTTGGGATCAGTACAAGTTGTTGGATAAATAGGTTCAAAACTAATCTGCACAAAGAAAAAAATACTGCAGAAGGTGAGCTAGAAGAAAACCAACTCGTCCTTGGGTAGTTTAGTCATGTGCAGTGAGGTTAATAACTGCCTCTAAAGGGACACCTAATTCAACAAGGCCATAAAAAACAAGGTTTTTTTTTTTTCCTCCAACAACCAAAAAGGGGATCTTGATGTCAAACATAATGAATGGCATGTGAGCTGAAAGAAAGTATGACAAAATAAAACTGATGAAATCTTTTTTGATAAGTAAACAAAACTAGTACAAATAAAAATAGTATATATAGTTGTTTGCATATTTAGAAGGGAAAATTATGTAGTTTCGCAACAATTTGAATATCCCCATATCTTGAATTTATTTATTTTTCACTGTTTCTTACTATTTGTAAATGAATGAAATGAATTTTTACGTATTACACTATCAGCATGTCACTTGTTATAATTGCCCTTGAATAACACAATCTATATCAATTGGACAGGGTAAAAAAAAAAGGGTTTCCAATAGGCACAGGCACGATATTCTATATCTTTACTATGTATCTGTTTGGCTCTGCTTGTGTTGCAAATCTAGAAGAAGAAAAAAAAAAGGTGGATACCCCAAAAGCTATGTACTTTAGGGCTTTGAGTGACTATCTTGTGTCTTGAATAGGGTTGCAAATGAATCGAGCTGTTCATGAACAGGCTTGGCTTGGCTTGTTTAGTAAATGAGCTGAGCTCGACCTCGAATATTAGGCTCGTTTAGTAAATGAGCAGAGCTCAAACTCGCATAACCTCGGCTTGTCAAACTCGGTTCATTTATCTTTATTTAAATTATATAATAAATATATTAGTTATATATTAAATAATATATAAATATGTATAAATAATAGTATAAATATATTATTTATATATTAAATAATATAAATAATGTTAAAAAAAAAATTAACAAGCCGAGCTCGAGTTTCATTAATATTAAAGAGCCGAGTCGAGCTCGAACCCAACTCCTTATCGAGTCGAGCTCCATCCATGCAGACAATGGAGCGATGTACAGACACACATCTTGCCACTGATATCTGTTTCGTAACTGTGGATGAAATTGATGTGTCAAAATCTGACTGTGGACTTAGGAATAGTGACACAAATTCCTAATTATCATAATTGTATAATTGTTACTATTCCGCCTTCTTCTTCTCATTGCGATGCTTCTTCTTGATTGGCTCTGGCGAAGAGGGGCTGATCGATTGTGTAGAACTCTGCGTTTTGGATCGTCCACGCTTGGAGCCCAGCGTGTTCATGTTTATCTAAAAAGTCTCTGTAACTGGAATTGGCTCCGAATTGCATAATATAATAATTGGAATCCCGCCCTTTATTTTTCTTGGGCGGGCATATTTACAATTTGAAATCCCTTCCCGTTGCGCTCCAATAAATTCCCACCAGTGTTTCAAAAATTGTGGGGCCACATCATCGATTACATTATAAAAAACGTCGTCATTATGGTCCCGCAAATCGATGTGACCGGAATAATAATTATGTGGCCCTAGAGACCGGGCCCAACATGTTTTCCCAATCCTAGATGGGCCTTCAATTATAATGCTCTTGGTCCTGTGTGGTCTTTGGGCTTCATCTCAGATATTTTCTACAACCCATTGTTGTATACATGTTGGGACAATCCATACTGTCTCTGTAAAACGATGAACGTACGGCAATAGGGGTTTAAACGATATTCTGTCGTAATTAGATGACAACTTGTCGTAATTTAGCCAATAACATTTTGGATCGCCATTTCTTACCATTGCCAATGCTTCGTCCTAGCTGCCGGTGGCAAGTGCGTTGCGATATATATTTTCTTTGTTGTTCTGGTTAGCGCAGCGGCCCCTCTCACGGAATTCACCTCATTCCGTGTAGTTCCCGTATTTGGAGATGTATTCCAGCACAGCCTGATGGTTGTTGGCCCCTTGTATATTTGGATGGAAATGGCGATTAGTGCGATTGTGAGTAACGTCAAAGAATCGTTCATCTTGTGTCTGAAAACGGTATGGAAATTGGACAAGAGCATGGAGATGTGGTTCACCGTCCTCGCGTAATTCATGTGCAACCCTCACATAATTTGGTGGCCTGTTAGTGAACAACTCCCTAATTTTCTCTAACAATCTCTCTTTAGGTACAGAACATCTGGGATGTGAGGAAGATGTTCTTGTTTTGAACTCTAAAACGACGTCGTATTGAGGCCATAACTCACTCTTAATGACGTCACTAACTCTCTCGGATGACGCAAGTCACTCGCTAAAAACTTTACTGGTAGAAGAGAGTGAGGGAGTGAGTTATATATGATCCCAGGAGCCTCCCTATAATATTACTGGGACGCTCCCCCCGCGCCACGTGTCGTCCCCTGATTAGTGCTCCCTTCCACATTTGGTGCCGTGTTGTCAGCTACAGGGCTCTGCTCCACTTCCAGATCTGCGGCCATGATTAAAAGATCTAAAAAGGCAAGCGCAAGCGGGAAACTATTTAATCCAAAATAATTAGGGATTTTAAATTATTTTGCAATGGATCTCGGAGATCTAGGTCAATTTAGGCGGTTGATTTTAAAATATGAGCCGGATCTTTTGTTGTTGCACTGGTCGTTATTTGTCGTCGGCGAAGAGAACGCCGAAAATTTAATCCGGCTCATCAATGCCTTACAGCGGCAAGAAGATGCTCTATTCGCCGGTCTGAAAGCGGTGTCTGAGCTCGATAAGGAATTCGGTTATATTGGAGTGCAACGGGAATGAATTTCAAATTGTAAATATGCCCGCCCAAGGAAAATAAAGGGCGGGATTCCAACTATTATATTATGCAATCCCGGAGCCGATTCCAGTTACAGAGATTTTTTAGATAAACATGAACACACCGGGCTCCAAGCGTGGATGATCCGAAACGCAGAGTTCTACACAATCGATCAGCCCCTCTTCGCCAAAGCCAATCAAGAAGAGGCATCGCAATGAGAAGAAGAAGACCCAACGCAGGAAGAGATTCCACTTCCAATGCGGATGTTCGATATTCCACACGAACGGATGTGTCGAACCACATCCACTGGAGAGAGAAGACGTTATCAGGGGTCTTTTACGACACTTTGAAAAACCCGATGTGGTTCAAAGCGGTAGACATGTCTCGACCTGGGAATCACGGGGTCTACAAGATAGAATGCTTGTTCAACTGCAACCTCCGGCGAGCGTTGGGAGTCCGGACGTTCACGGCGACAATGTATACATGGCTGACATCCAATGGTCTCAGAAGCCTGACGGAGACTGTATTTACCCAGCTTATTGCACGTAGGATGACGAACAAATTATCCAGCTTTGGGATTATTAGTACAGTTAATTATTGTCTCGCACTTACCATTGTACTCGACGAGCTTTCATATTATAAAAAAGATTGGCGGTGGAAAAATATTTATGTACATTTTCACGATTAAATAATAAAATGTTAAGCTATATTTAATTAATGTGATTTTTGTTTTGGATCATCAACAATAATATAAATGGGCCCAAATACAGTCTACTAAATTAAGAGGCCCAATTACAGTCTCCCAAATGAAGAGGCCCATTTAACGTGACAAGGCCCATAGTTAGCCAATGCTTTTTCATAGGCCCTTTAGACATAGGTCCATCAAAACTATGAAAGAAGTGGACACTAAAATGGATCATATTCGGGGCGGCCCAGTATTCCAATATAATACACAACAGGACAGACTTACAACAAATTTGAACAAATTATTTTATTGAGGAATAGTAACAATTATGCAATTATGATAATTAGGAATTTGTGTCACTATTTCTAAGTCCACAGTCGGATTTTGACACATCAATTTCATCCACAGTTACGGAACAGATATCAGCGGCAGGATGTGTGTCTGCACATCGCTCCATTGTCTGCATGGATGGAGCCATCGCCTGGGTTTCTAATTCGGACACCGCTTTCAGACCGGCGAATAGAGCATCTTCTTGCCGTTGTAAGGCGTTGATGAGCCGGATTAAATTTTCGGCGTTATCTTCGCCGACGACAAATAACCAGTGCAACAACAAAAGATCCGGCTCATATTTTAAAATCAACCGCCTAAATTGACCTAGATCTCCGAGATCCATTGCAAAATAATTCAAAATTCCCAATTATTTTGGATTAAATAGTTTCCCGCTTGCGCTTGCCTTTTTAGATCTTTTAATCCTGGCCGCAGATCTGGGAGCAAAGCGGAGCCCTGTAGCCGACAACACGGCACCAAATGCGGAAGGGAGCACCAATCAGGGGACGACACGTGGCGCGGGGGGGAAGCGTCCCAGTAATATTATAAGAACGCTCTTGGGATCATATATAACTCACTCCCTCACTCTCTTCTACCAGTAAAGTTTTTAGAGAGTGACTTGTGTCATCCGAGAGAGTTAGTGACGTCATTGAGAGTGAGTTATGGCCTCAATGCGACGTCATTTTAGAGTTCAAAACAAGAACATCTTCCTCACATATCCTAGATGTTCTGTACCTAAAGAGAGATTGTTAGAGAAAATTAGAGAGCTGTTTACTAACAGGTGAGAGTTGCACATGAATTACATGAGGACGGTGAACCACATCTCCATGCCCTTGTCCAATTTCCATACCGTTTTCAGGCACAGGATGAACGGTTCTTCGACATTACCCACGATCACACTAATCGCCATTTCCATCCAAATACACAAGGGGCCAACAACCATCAGGTTGTGCTGGAATACATCTCCAAATACGGGGACTACATGGAATGGGGTGAATTATCAACCCAATTCATGAACAGGCTCGGCTCGGCTTGGCTCGGCTTGTTTAGTAAACGAGCCGAGCTCAAGCTCGAATATTAGGCTCGTTTAGTAAATGAGCAGAGCTCAAACTCGCATAAGCTCGGCTCGTCAAACTCGGTTCATTTATCTTTATTTAAATTATATAATAAATATATTAGTTATATATTAAATAATAGTATAAATACATTATTTATATATTAAATAATATAAATAATATTTTTTATTTAAATAATATAAATAATATTTAAAAAAAATTATCAAGCAGAGCTCGAGTTTCATTAATATTAAAGAGCCGAGTCGAGCTCGAACCCAATTCCTTATCGAGCCAAGCTCGAGCTCAATAAACGAGCTCGATAAGTAAACAAACTGAGCTTGGGCTCAACAAAGTTCGGCTTGGCTCAGTTTGTTTGTAGCCCTAGTCCCGAATCTTGATTATACACTTGGTTTTCCAACAATTTTGACATCCCCACAATGTCAAAATGACATTTTCCCCTATGTTTGTTGCTGTCTTTCTATTTCTAAATAAATGATAGCAAATCTTATTATAATATCAACATGTTACTAATTGCAATTGCCTTTGAATAACACAGCCATTATAAATGGGAAGTGGGGAACAACCATTCAGTTGGATGTAGAAAGCAGGGTCTCCAATCGGCACAAGCTTGATGTGGTAGAGGTAGAAAAAGAGAACTAAATATCATAATAATTGTGTATGCTACGGTTTGGCGTAATCATTTTGTGTTGAATCCTGATCATACATATTCCTCAAAATGTTATGAAACCTTCAATTAAAATATAATCATGTATGATTGCAAAGAATGCCTCCATTATAAATGCACAAACACCACCAACAAAAGTATTTGCGATCAATCTTAACCAATTCCACTATGGCTAGTAGCTGCACATCTACATAAAACATGCTAGAGAAAGATATAGTAACAAGTATGTTAAGCTTTTGTTATTGACAATCCCATTTGACAAAACTCCTTTCAGTTGTAATTTTGTTTGATCTTTTATTTCAGTGAGACTATGAGTATTTAGATGCGAATCCAACCCGAATTGTGCAGTTTGTGATCTTAATCCTTTAATGTTTGCTACTTCACCGATTATGTACGGGGATCGAGCTACCTGGTCAGCTCGCGAGGGTCTAGGGCAAGGTTGTTAAGATCGCGATCCGGATCATAGGATCCCACGATCCCAAATATACCATTCGATCTAACTCGTATTTTGGATTGGGCCCGTGTCAGGATCGTGGTGGGATCAGTAGGATCGTAATAGGATCACAATTCCATGCGATCCTGTTAAATAGGGATTTTTTTGTTGCCTTTAAGTCAAACAGCCCTTTATTGGACAAAGGAAGGACAAAAAATGACCCTCTGAGTTATGATTAGGGCAAGAGAAATTGGACATCAAACTTCAAATTTTGTGTAACTACTAACCAGGTATGCTCCTTTTCTGTCTTCTTCTTCGCTGCTCTTCTTTTTCTTCGAATCTTCATTCTCTGCCTTCATCTTCTTCTTCTTCTTCGACTCTTCTCTGCTTCGAATCCTCCTTTTCTGTCTTCGACTTCTTTTTCTTCCCTTCAAGGTTTGTTTCTGTTTGATATATGATATATAATTTATATATATATGTATATATATTTGTGTGAATGAAAACCAAAAAACTTTTTTTTTCCAATCACTTTTTTTTTATATATATATTTATAATATATATATATATATATATGATTAATGTTGATTATAGCAATGATGATAATTTCGGCGACCATAGTAACTTATTTTAGTCTTTTATTTGTTCTACCCTTATTTAGTTTGTCTTTTTTTCATTAAGAAACAATGACAATGGTGTGCAAGTGTTGGTATTTTTTTTAATTATGTTTTCGATTTCTTTTCTTGAGAAAAAATGTTTGAATGCTACCTTTAATTGCTATATTTCTTTTTCTTTTTTTTTTTGAGTCATTCTATATTCATTTTGATAGTATTACTAGTCATATAAAACTTATTGCATTTTTTTTATCATTTTAGTAGGATCTTATGATTCTTGATCTGATCCTACGATCCGATCCAGCAGACCCCCAAAACAATCCTGTGTAGGATCCCGATCTTAACAATTTTGGTCCAGGGGGCAGCGCCCTCGAAACAAAAAGCAAAAATGCAATCGAAATTGTTTGACCGCTCGAGCGGTCATTTGTGTGCTTGAGCAAAGAAAATAATCATCTAGTACTTTGGTAGAGCGTCTAAACTTTTGGGAAGAAAATTTTACCGCTTGAGCGGTGAAAGTTGCGCTCAAGCAGTCAACCTATATGTTTCGCACTGCCTTTAGTCACACCGCTCGAGCGGTGAAATGTGCGCTCGAGTGGTCTGTGCAATCCTATTTTCTATAAAGTGCGCTGTTTGCTATTTCAAGGTTGGGGCCGTCCAGATTTTTAGAGAGGAACAAAATACAAATGTGTTTTATATTGGAGGTTGCTTTATGAGTATTTCCTTGATGATTTAAGAGTGATCAATGGATCCATGAACTTAATATCAATATCATCAAGGGTTTGTTTGTTTTCGTTTATTCACAAAAGAGAGAGTTGTTCTTCGGTGGATTCCGTGGAACTTGGGCTTGAAGCTTTGGTGGATTCCAGAGTGGCTCATTGTCGTAGATTCGACATCGGCGTTGTGGATTCAACGTTAGGCAAGACAATTATGAAGTAAAAACAGTGGTGGAAGAGGCACATAGGGGTCGGTTCAATTTGGGCGTAGATTCGTTAGATAATTGAGGGTACACTTGTGTAATTCATTTTTGTCTTCTTAGTGGATTGTTTTGTGGCTTTTGCCCGTGGTTTTTTTTATCACAATTGGATGCGCTCCAATTGTGGTTTTTCCATATTAAATCGTTGTGTCGATTTGTCTTTGATTATTTGATTAGGATTGTTATTTACTGTTTAAAATTGATCCATAATTACAAATTAATATCTCGGGGATTTTAAGATTTTTCAAAGCAGTTATGATCAATAATTGCCCTCTCCCCATAGAAGCTTCATTAATTATCTGGGAAATAAGATTTGAGATAAGATACATCATAGATGTTAACAACGTAGCTACACCATATACATCGTATCGTAGAACATGACCACAAACAATATATAACCTATGAAAATCAGATGAACCCAATGCTTGTGATGAGGCACAATTGGACTAAAAAACAAAACAAAACAAATTTAAGAGTCATGCAAAAGGAATTCATATCATACAATAAACAAAAATTTATCTACCTGACTCAGAAGTTTTGGCTTGTCAATTGTCGAAATTGTAATTTCATATAGATGCCTGCATAATTTTGAACGTTTATTATGCCACTTATACTAGAAAGCTTTAAAGAAAACCTCAATCAGGCGCAAACCTTTCAAAAGTATTTACCGGAAAAAATGCAGATTACCATCATCTCCAACTTGACCATTTGATTTGTTTGCTTCAAATGCAAGTTCAAGATTTGGTGACAAGCCAAAGGCAAATGGTGGATGAAAGCTGAAAATCAAGGAAATTGAAATATAGGAAATAGTGTTTACACAGTGTTGCAGAAAACGAAAATATTTTTAAGGCAAAAGATGTAATTCAGGAAACATTCATATTATCATGCCTGTGCCTGCCAGGAGAATCAGAAATTTGCGCATCCACTTTTCTTATGAAGTTTGAATGAACAGAATCACTGGAGGTTGCATCAGAGACAGCATGAACCTGCATAAGAGAGAAATTGCCCAGATGCATTTGGCCAAGCGAAGAAGTTACAAGCCTAATTGGAGGAGCAATAAAGAAAGTAATATTAATTTGAAATGTTTTGCATCAGTTATGTGAAGATTAAAAAGAAACATATACCAGAAAAATCAACTTGGCAAAGATAAATTAATGAATAACTTATTTTAACACAAATATTTCAATATAGAATCCCAATTTTAAAAATGTCTAAACCAAACAAAGCCTGGTGTCCCAATCAATTGGGTTAAACTATATGAATCCTTTTTCCGCCAATCCACTCTAACAAGGGCCATTATATGCTAATTTTACAAAATATTTCAGCAACTTATTCAATCTTACATGACATATGGAAGAAATTGATTGTCAAACTGGATGCAAACAAAATTCTTGGATGAAACTTTTAAAAGCAGGAACCAACATTGAGCTTCAACAGAAACAATAACAAGCATGATTTAAATGACACAATGGTGAGGAATGCATTTCATAGAAAAAAGAAAAAAAAAGAAAAGAAAAGAAGATACTAGGAATAAAGAATAATCCCATCATTCACAAAAATTTTAACTAGTGCATAAGAATTACAAATGAGATTATTTTTACTACACTTCATTACTGACTCATCTTTTTACCAACTTCAGCAAATTCAGTTCTGTAGCCTTAAGTTGCACCAGCTCAGCTGAATACAATACGTTGGGCTGTAACTTAAGTCTCTCTAGCTTGAACTTTGTCTCCACCTTGTAAATACAAAATGGGTTTGCATTGTTTATTTTATTTTTAACTTCTCAAATCATTTCCCACATGGCAATTGGCCTACTTAAATACTTCGGAATATTTGGCGACCTACACAGGACACTAAACTTCTGAAGATAGTAACAAAAGTAGATTTTCTGTACTGTGAAGAAGTTTAAGAGAATTTTTTCCTTTATAACAAGAATTACCTGAAAGATAATGTAAAATCAACACACATTGAAAAGGATGCTAGCATGAGTCCAAAATTAAGACCCTCACCAAACTGTTTGGAAGGATAAAGTAACAAATTTCATTATTTCTGCAGATGCAGCAACCACACAACAAGGATCCAGACAAAAACCATAAAGCTATAATGCATAAAGTTAACATCCATAATTAACTAAAGAGAAGATTCTTCTAAGTAGTAAATGACAGTTTCCCAAGTGATTTACCTGCCCAAGTCGGACTTCAAACGCAGGTCTAGTAGTAGGGTCATATGCCAGATGCAACAATCTCTTGTGCATAAGAACATCTTCTGGCCTCTCTACGTTCACATCAGTTGCATACCTGCAATAGGTAGTCCAGACCTTGCAATGAATCAACCATCACTAAAGTACACAATTAGGAAGAAAGCGTAATCTAAGCAAAATTTTAGATTCAAGAGAATTTGAAGTTCCAGCCAAACAACCCAATATTTTAGAACGTGACAACAATATGATTATTAAGACCAAATAGAAAACTGATCTAATAATCTAACCAACTGATTGGCTAACTATAATCCTTGCACCTCACTAGGAGGTCAAGGGTTCAAGTCTTGCTTCAGTTGCACCAGACTTCAAATCACTGGGAACTAGTGAAGTCAAGGGTTTAAGTCATAACACAAGCAAGGCTTCCCCTCTCCAAGCTATGGTCTCTAACATACTTCTCTCTGTTTCTTTTTTCTTTTCCCATAAAAAGGCATCCCAGTATCTTCAAAGTGACAAAAAGGGGAGGGGGGAAAAGAAAATTGGTAGGAAAAACGGAAAGGAACAATAGTCCCCTTTGTTTACTTGCCGAGAAATTGGTAGGATAAAGGAAAAGGGAATTCCAGATTCTTATAGCTTATTATTCCACAAAATGGCACCAGAAAACAGACCTTAAGAATGAAATAAGATTAATGATTCATCCACCAAATTTGTTTAGTCCGAATTGTTTATTCCTAGTATTTCATTGGGGTGAATTCGGGCTAAACAAATTTGGTGGATGTAGTGGTGTTGATGAAATAATCAAATCAAAGAACATCTCCAACAACATATTCCAAGACACTGATACCAACAGCCGAACAAAAGTTTCTATAAAGTGAAAATGGAATTAAAGAATAAACACAATCAGTATAATAAACACGTTAAAGGGTTAACGAACAATAATCCCCTTTGTTTACTTGCCGAGAAATTGGGTAGGAAAAGGAAAGGAAATTACAGATTCTTATAGCTTCCGTAGCTGTGGAACATAGAAAGAACAAGATATATAGCAAAGACTTGTACAAATAATGTGTATTGCCTGAATTAACCTACCTGTTTCATTTTGTTAAAATCCAATAAACACAAAAACGTTTTCACCTCCATTTCCTTTTTCTCAAATTCCATGGGCCATCAAATAGAAGGCAAAGTAGACAACAGGAATCGAATTTAGAAGTCCAAAATTATTTTCAATTATTTTTCAACAAATTTCTTAGCAACCAAACAGGAGGAAAAAAAAAAAAAAAAACACAAAAAGCATGAGAACAAAGTCAACAGATTATGATTTGGCAATCTCATTTTCCTCAGTTTGCCCGCCAAAATTATCCAAACTCGGTCGATTGAAGTGGTGGAATAGTAGTACCTAATCGGAAGTCGATTGAAGTGAGCCCAAAGCTCGTCCTCGAAACCAGGCTGACTAGCCTCTTCGTTGTCCGAATCTCTGAGTCTCCGAACAATCTCGTGATAAACCTCAACTTTCTGCCTCCGCTTCCGAATCGGCACCGACTCCGAAGCTCTGCTACTACAACTCTCCGTGTCTTCCATGGCCGATCAAAGAAGAGGTCAAATCAACATATACAAAGTTTTTTAGAAAAAAAAAAAAAACAAAAGAAGAGAAGAAAGAGGACGATGACGACACCCTTGATTCCGATTCCAAAACAACATTCGAAAGCGAAACCAAAACGAGCAACGACAATCACTTGGAGTTCACGTGAATTGCAGATTCAAAGCAGAAACGGACAACGACGACGAAGACGACGTCAATGAACCGACTCAAATTGAACACATCAAAGAAATACTATGAAATACTATGAAATACGAATATGAATATATAGATATAGAAAGATAAAGAGAGTGAAAAGTATTGAAAATTCAAATTATTCTTTATGGCACATTGCATGAAAGAGAGACAGAAAAAAAAAAAAACAAACAAACAAACAAACAAAACCAAATGTGTTCTCTTTCCTTCTCTCTCGCTCCGTGTATATATATATATATATAGATATATAAACGTGGATGCTGTGGTAACTCTGGCATTGCAACTTCCCCGCTCCGCTTCGGCCCGGCCCGGTCTTTTCTGGTTTTCTCATTCCAAGAAACTGGGACGGAATTTTTTTAAAGAAAATATTAAATGAGTGACATTTTTAAAATTATAAATTTTTTATGTGTATATGTAATTATTTTTTTAAAGTTATACTAATTCTTCCTCTTTTTTTCCCTCAAAATTATACATAAATTATTTTTAAACATATAATAAAGTAAAATATTAAGGATTTACAATTTAAATCCCGAGTTAACCTCTGTCGGATTAAATTTGTAATAAATAAAAAAAATTAACACCTAAACTTGCCATATCATTGGATTAAATTATAAGAGGTTTTTTAAGAGTTTCAAATATTTTTCTATGATAAAATTTAGGGGAATTTTTAAATAAAAAAAAATCACAACTTGACTCTGGTAAGAAAATAAGCTATAAGTTTTTAATTTTGTCAATTTAAATTATATTCTTTTGATATATTTTCAATATAAATTATTTACTTATTTTCATTAAGTAAAATCGATGGAGTATTTTAGCCACTAAACTCATGTTTGGTTTTGGATTTTTGGCTAAAAAAATACAAAAGACAAAATTGATTACATAACCCGATAATACAAAATATCACATCTAAACCATAATCATTACACTTTTTCTCTCACAAAAGTAAAAAAAATTGTAAGAACCACGACTTGTGATTAACTGTTAAACCATGATTAATAAGTAATTAAGGTGAAATGTTGCATTAATTGCATGTGTTATATGCTATGTGCGTTTCTATCTGTTTTGCGTAGGAATATCAGTCTATGATTTTGTTCGGTTCTACGAATTGAAGGCATTATCCGAATTCGATCATGAAATTGACTGAGATTATAATTTTTAGAATTTTATGGTAAGTTCAATTTAAATTCGAATCGGAATCAAATAATTAGAATAAACAATGTGAATTAAGTAATCACTAATGAAGTACCACTAATCAAGCCTATATAAGACCATATGATTCTAGAACATACACATATATGTACATCTCATCATCTTGGGTGACAAAAACATGAGAGGAGAGGGAAAGAAAGAACTCGAGGTGTGAACTCAACAAAAAGTGAAAAGGGGGAGAAATTAGAAGGATAATTGAGAATTGACCTTCTGGCTCAAGGACTTGAACCCTTAAGATAATAATTTAACCCTTAAACTATGTAATTATAATATCTAAGACATGAATTCTAGAGAATTGAGTTGAGTGATGCAAGGAGTGAGCTAGAAATGAAGGAATCTACATTAAACCATGAATGCATGCATATTTTCTCACATTTTGGATTTGCTTGCTAAGAATTCCCTTATGCATGTCATTGTTTTGACTCAGTTTTGGAAATTCATCAAGCTTCATGCTAGTTTATACCATTTGATCATGTTTGGAGGGTTTTGAAGTCAAGAAATTACATGCATGACATGTGTTCAACATTTCAGGCTTTAGTTTGCACAATTGGCATGCTTTGGGCTTGATTTTGCGAAATGATTTTTGAATTCCCAATGTTTTCCAAGTTCATACATGTTTCCTTAAGTTTTTGGACCAAAAAGATGAGTTTTGATGTGTTTAATTCGAGTTTTGAAACTTGGAAGCAAATCTAAAAATTCTAGAATTCTGTCTCTCCGCTCGAACAACAGAACCTGCGCTCGAGTAACCACTCGTTGTTCTGCACTTTGCTCAAGCGACCAAAAGTTGGCTCGAGCGTAAAATGCATACTCACAGAAGTTTACTATTTTTTCAAACCGTTCAAGCGACAACAGTTGCGCTCAAACGAAGACCTCAGTCTCAAGCTCGAGCGACCGTCGAGCGAAAAAATCACACAACCAGTACTTTTGTAGAGTTTACAAACCGCTCGAGCGAAGGAGTTACGCTCACATTTTTTGAACCTCCGCTCGAGCAAAGAAAGTTACGCTCGAGTGAAGCCTTTGTTTCTAGCAAATTTGACTAAGCCTCAGTTTGGGAAGTGGGTTGGCTTTTTGCCTTTTTAATTTTTTTGGCTATTTTAGCCTAGGTTAAAAAGCTTAGTTTGAGAAGGACTTTTTGGCTTTTTGACTTTTTTGACTTTTTTTGTGAGAGAAAAGTGTAATGATTATGGGTTAGATGTAATGTTTTGTTTGTTGTGGCTAAAATAGCCTATTTTGTCTTTTGTGGCTATTTTAGCCACAAACCAACTTGTCAAACACCACCTAAGTGTTTTCAAGAGCATTTCAGCATCCTCATTGCATCCTAGGCATTCATATGCCATAATTAAGACATAATAATGATGATAGACTTAGAAACACACTAAGAACGAATAAAAATAAGCTAAGTACGATCCAATCATATGTTTCAATACGTATATCTGTTATGGTTGTGTAGGTCACGTGCCGTGAGCTGTTGATCCATTGGTTGCTAGCCAAGTTATCTGTGCAATTTTCTGTAAGTAATAATTCTGTAAAGTTATGTTTGACTTTAATTATTTTATGATGACATGAAAATGAATAGCTTTCAGAAATGCTATGTTTTGTATGAACGAATGATTGTTCAATTTTCTTTGAAATGTAATTATGGTATCCTTAGCAGAGGCCCTTGTCCAGGGGACATAATACTGCAGCTTTTGGTCATGAGGCCCTCGCCCGCGGGAAATAATACTGTGGCCCAAGCCCTCGCCTAGGGAAAACAATACTGTGGCCCATGCATGAGATATGTTACCCGGTACCGGAAGTTCCAATATGGAACTTGATAAGCTTGACCAAAGAGATATGTTAATGCTAATGGATTTACCACGTATGATATGAATATGATTAAGACTCTGTTTCTAATGCGGATATGTTTATGTTTCTGTTCAATAAGAGAATTGAAATCTATATATGTTATGGACATCATTCATTAACATCTTTACTCTGTTATTATTCACTAAGTTCCAGCTCATTGTATTATGTATGTATGAATGTAGGTGACCAGGCGGGTGACCAGGCACAGAGTTGATGACCTAGATTCTCAGTTTTGTCAACCAACCATTGTGCCTCCCGATGAGGTTCCCTTTTGAGACCTGATCGCACGTGTTTGAGACTTTGTTTCCTTTTGACGTATGAACAAGTTTTCTGTTTACATGTAAACTGGGCTAAGCTCTCTTTTGTTATATCATAATGAATATGACATAAGACTGCTGTATTTATGACGTCACATTTATGTATATAAAGTTTTAAATTTCTGTCTCATATATATCTACATAGCTCAATGGACTATGTATATTTCTATATTTGCTTCCGCTAGGCCTTTATATTTTGTTATTTGGGTTAGAGGCTTTCAATAATCTGAGGATTATTGGCCAGTTACAATGCTAAACCTGTAAGGGCGGATTTAAGTCGTGACACAAAAACAAAAACCAAACGTGGCTAAAAAAATAAGACTAAAATAGCCAAAAAGCTAGGTTATTTTGGCTTTGTTTGGGAAGAAGGGTTAGGTTGAGTTTGGGGCTATTTTAGTTACAAAAAGGCAAAACAAGTTTTTTAGTCTAATAAGACAAAATATCATATCCAATCCATAATCATTACATTCTTTCTCTTACAAAAAGTCAAAAAATCATTCTCAAATGAGACTTTTTAGCCCTAGACTCTAATAGTCAAAAAATCAAAAAGTCAAAAAATTAACTCACTTCCCAAACGAAACGAAGACTCAATATAAATATATATAAAATGTCTAAAATATTTTTTTTATTGAATTTAATGACTAAAATACTATTTTTTCATTTGTTTTATTTAAAAAAATAGATAAATATTTAAAATTTAAAATAAATCAAAAGATTTTATTTAAATTGATGAAATAAAAAATAAAAAATTTATTTTGTTATACAAGTCAAATCTTATAATTTCTCTTAAAATTTAAATATTAAAATATTATATTTAACATTTATTTCTATTATTTTTATTTTACATTATTTCATTATTGTCATTTGTAAATTATTATCCATAGAGCCATATAGATTGTTCTTAATCCCACTTCCACTTTGACTAGGCGGTCTTCCTAATTTATTCCGCCTCAATATAATATAGTGCAGTCAAGACGGTAAAAGACCGACCCGTTTATCATGCCCGCCCCGATTTGTTGCTAACCAACTCTTTTGGCAAAACGTTGACGGCGTAATGCCCACTTCATCAGCGCGTATCGACGTGGATTCAAACGAAGCTTGTTTGCTTTGCTTGTATCACCCATTTTTCCAACATTATTTTATTTTAACAAAATATGATTTCTTTCATTATCCGATAGCGAAGCCTTAATTAAAAAATAACTCGATACTGTCTTTGCACCTCCACTGTGACCCAATGAGGCATCTCTTTTGTCTCGACTTCCACTGAGCTCTCTCAAAATAATAGGGCAATTACATGGACATTAGAGTATTTTAAAAAGATGATTAAAAATTAATTTGGACTTTTAATTAAGTTTTTAGTCTATTTAGAAAATTATTTGAAAAGTTGATAAAAAGTTATTTTTTAATTTTTTTAATTAATATTTGTTTATACTGTTACATCATAATTAAATGATCAAAATATCCCTATCCATTTTAGAAAATAACTACTTTCACCATGTGACTCATTCAAACATCATAGAAGGTATAACTATAATTTTTAGTTCTGTTTTGTAGCTCGAATTTCTTTTGATCCGAGTGGCTTGATTGCTTAAAACGACGTCATTTTGAGCATTTTTTTTTTCCTCTGCAAATGAAGGAGGAGGAGGAGGAGAAGGAGAGAGGAGGGAGCTGTGTGAGAGAGAGCAACATATCATCATTATCATCAACATCAACAACATATCATCATCATTAACAACAACAACAACAACAACAAACAACACCACATCATCATCAACACGTATTGGCATCAACAACATATTATCATCAACAACAAACAACACC